CATTTGCAGTGTCTTCTGATGGAGTGTGCTCTGCCAAAAGTTTTTTGCTATGCATCTGGCTGCAAATCTAAATTTATTGCATTAGCTCTGGGAAGACTTTTTAATAGAAAGTGAGATTAAAAGGGAGGAAGAGAGATTCAAGTTGTGCGTAAGGCAATGAGAGAAAGAAGTAGCAGTGTGAAATGGAGCTGACTGTGTCAACAATAGGGGATGACTCTGATTAAATGTGCAGCAAAGAGATGGAACATTAGTTTGGATGTGCTTGTATGAGCAGTGCGAACGCACATGCAACAGGGGCAAGGGCAGGATGGGTGGGGGAGGGTGACTTCTTTTAGAGCACTGATTACCTTCCAAATCCCATCAGGCTGCTAGAGAGGAAGAGAAGAGAAGCAAGGCTGCCATCAGCTGGTTCAATCAGGCTCCTCCCTCTATCAGTGGCCACCTTGCAGTAGCCACTCCACCAAGCTACAGCAGAGAACGAGAAGGGAGGCAGGACCACTCCGTTGGCTCTCTTAAGAAACCAGCGACTTTTGGCACCTTGTCTCCTTGAACTCCCTTCCATTCTAGCTGGTTGTTATAAGAACTAATGCCTGGATTTGCTTTCATCCTCACCCTCCTCAATTCCTTTTGCGCCATGTCCTTTAGATTGTAAACCTCTGGGAAGAGGTGGTTTTAGGGTAGCACGACTGGTGCAGCCCCATTGGGTGCTTTGCTGCAGGGGGTGCCACAACAATGCTTTAGAATGGAATGCAAGAAGTGTGGGGGGGGTGCCAGTTTTTTGCATCGCACAGGGCACCACTGAAATTTGAGAGCCCAAAGTCTGCTACTGCTCTGTGCAAGGGATGTCTTACTGATTTCTCTAAATGCCTCCAGTAGCCTTCTTTGATTGGGTAAAAATACTTCAGTTGTACATAAAAATGTTCATGAAATTAAATTCTGTTAAAGTAGTTGATCAATACTCCAAACAATTTAGTTGATGCTAAGTGCTAAAGTATGCATTGGGGCCACCTTTTCCCAACATACCTTCGGATAACTACACTGCCACATAATCCCACAGCTTCCTTGTTTCTCCAGGGTCCCGCCAAGGGAGATTTATGAGAGTACGTTGAGTTACGGTAAAGACCATGGCAGCTAACCCATGGCCCTCCAGATGTTGTTGGACACCAGCTCCCATCACTCCTGGCCAATGTGGTCAATGATCAAGGATGATAGAAGTTGTAGTCCCAAAATATGTGGAAGGCCACAGGTTAGCCACCCCTAGCATAGACCCGCATTGAGCCATTCTAGAGACTGGTTTGACACAAACATAACTTTTGGAAGTAGCCAAGTATGTGTCCAGTGGCTGCAAAATTTCGGACCATGAAAGAAGATACATGAAACTAGGTCCTTGGGTGCAGCTGGAGGCAGTAAGGTTTGGGTAGATGAGCTGTCATCTTCTTATTACTAATAGACTCCCATAATAATCACTCAAATAAATGCATTCCTGTGCAGCATTTGAAGCTGGAATAGAGTTCAACAGGTTGGGGAAAGTGGGAGGCGGCAACCCCATCCATTTTCAAAATAAAAGGTCAAATACAAAAAGCAGCACTTACAAAATGAAGGGTATTGCTTTTCACGGCAAGAAATTGAAGAAAATTACAGTTAGCAGTGGTCTATAGGTTGAAGCAGTGGGAATAATCTATTTCTCCCCTCTCCCCCTCTGTCTGAGCAAATATACAGAAGCAGCTATTGGTATTGGAGGAGGATTTTCTCTAAAACAAGTAATCTTATCTCTTTAAGAAAACAGTTCTTGTAGTGAACAAAGGCCAGATGATTCCCCAATTCATAAAAAAGGAAAGATGGAGGGGGGGGGGAGAGATCTCCACATACCGAGGCCCTAAGGTAAGCAGCATGTTAATCAAATCAAAAGCATTAGGACTTCAATCTCTGGCACTTTAGTACCCTTCCTGGTTTGTTTTAAATCTTGATTGGAAGAGTTATCCTGACAATAAAATTAGTCGTAAGTCAATAAAACTCTAGCTCAGAGATAGAGCCTCAAGTGACTGGCGAGAGAATTCATTTGATCGTGCACACAAAAACGCACTTGCGGTGATGAACTGACTTGGCTGGGCAAAGTTCATTATGATTTTAACCATGAAACCATGAAGAGCAGGTAATCATATTTAAAGAGATAAGAAACACAACCAGCAAAGGGCCTTGCCTTTGTCAGAGAAATTTCTCATTTACAGCAGTCACGGGTGGAAAATCAATAACTCCACTTTGCCATGCAAAAGGAGTCTTCAGCTTGATGAAGCTTTTTTTTTTGGTCCCTCTTTTCATTAATCTGAACACATACATACACCCCAGGATTTGCATGCTGGCAGCGTCCTAGGCTTCTCTTCTCTCTGGCCTGATGCACAATACCTCAAGATTTTCTTCAGGAACAGCTTCGTCCTATCTATCCTTGTCAGAGTAAATCTCTCTCTGAATTTCAAATAAATGATCCTCATGCCGCATTTCCAACTCTCTCTTGTACACACACAAACATAACCACATACACAGGCGCGCACACACACTCACTATTGGGTATATCTCACCATGGAATCCCCAGTGGGAGTTCATCTTCACCACGGGAGAGGGGAAACTTGCTGATTAAATGTGTCTGGTGAAGGAAGCAACTGATAATTCTCATATGTCTTAGGGCGGATCAGAAAGGGGTCATGATGATTCTTTCACAATCTTCTGTTCATTCATACTCCTTATGGACTCAGTGGCTGGTTCAGAGATAATGGGAAAACATGGTTTTATGCTGCATGAATAAGCCCACATGAGCCTTGTTTACCCCCCTTCCATTCAGCTCCCCTTCCATAGCTTTGAATTAAACAAATGCATTTGCTTCTGATTTTAAACAAGCTATTGTTCCCTGTAGTATACAATCTTGGAAAGCTGGAGTGTTTAGAAACTCTAGTTGGTAATATCCAACCAGGATCAAACTATGGTTTCAGATCCTGGTTTGTTCTGGCTAATTGGTTTAAATAAACCACCATTATCCATGTTTAGATGCCAAGGGGACCTGTGTCTTCTTCCCAGGAAAGAGGATGAGAAGAGGAAGCACTAAGTCTGAACTGAGCCAATGTGTTTGAATTCAGTAAATTGTGCTGTGGCCAAGGAAGTACAGCATGAGTTCTGGGGAAGTTCTGTTGCATATGAACATAGTGCTCACCCTCATTCATCCCAATGGGCTCTTGTCTGGCCTAGGACATTCCAAGATGACTCATATCATGAGTCAGCTGACATATGTTAAATATATAGCAGACTTAAAACCATGTTTCGCCAAGAGTTTCAACATTCCTTATATGGGGTTTCCTCACATCTCAAGTAAACAGACATACACTGGAGTGCAATATTTACATGCCAAGTCACAGTTGTTGCTTCAATTAGGCAACAGTGCAAAATTTCACACACATGCACTCACTCCCCACCCCTCATAGTTGTATCCCATACCTGCTTTGTGGAGCTCAGGGTAACTTTATCTTCACAGCAACTTCATGAGAATGTGCAAATGTCAAGTGTCGTATCTGATCTGGGATTCAAACCCATGCCTCCTCTGGTCCACGTCCACAACTCTATCCCATATGCTGCATTCGTTTCTCAAAAGTGGCTCTTCAGAATGGCCTTGTGAGGTGCCATTCCATGACACCAGCTCATTATAAGGCACTTTGAAAACACATTTGATCAAATTCAGATTTGGCACTAGGGGGGTTGAATGCTGGCTGCTGCACACTGTTCTTCTTTAGTAGCAATATTATTCAATATTTCACTCTGATGCAACAGATCTCAAAGGGTAGCCAGCAGGACAAAGTTGAATCCAGGCCTCCAGCCCAGAAGAAAAGCATGCACAGCACAGCTGGCAAACTTATTTGCCCAGCTGACCTTTCCATAAATGGAAAGATGAATTGAGCAAGTTCAGGAGCCGGCCTAGAACTGAACAAGAGAATCCAAAAAAACAGGCAAGCTTCAGAAGCCCTGGATTCAGACTCTTTTTGGATGCTCAGTTGCAAATATCTGCCAAGATGCGGGGTGCCATCTCCTAACTACTTTGGCTGCAAACCTCATATTCATTTCTTCATATGCCATGTTACACACATCATCTCTGAGTCTTTCAGAGCCCTCCGCATTTCAGAGGCACCAGCAATCAAGCAGAAACTTCTGGGGCAAGCTGTGAAATCTCTGAAATGAAAATCAATTCCATCTCCATTTCACAGAGACTAATGTGGCATTTACAACATAAACAATCATTTCTGTTGGGCAAGAAAATTAAAAGCCACACTACATAAAAAGGAACAATGTTTAAACTTCTGGTGGAAATGAGGGCTCGCATTGGAAATGATTATAGAGGGAATAAGATGTGTTTGCGGGAGGGAAGCTAGCAGATCAAAGAGATGTACATAACACAAAGCTTGCAGTTGCAACTACTTCTGCGTTGGCATAGCTCATGCAATGGCTTCTATGAAGGCAAAAATAGTTCATTAGATGTGCCATGCAGTTATATCCAGAATTAATATTCCAGCTAGTGGATATCTCTTATTCACCATTGCCTTTAAACAAGTGGTTGCACTGGCCAGGCAGGGACCACCTGGGCACTTAGATCACCCTTAAATTTACTTGCCCAAAGGCAGGGATAGGCAGCTTAGAATCAAAGAATTGTAGAAGAAGAAGAGTTTGGATTTGATATCCCGCTTTATCACTACCCTAAGGAGTCTCAAAGTGGCTAACAAACGCCTTTCCCTTCCTCCCCCACAACAAACACTCTGTGAGGTGAGTGAGGCTGAGAGACTTCAGAGAAGTGTGACTGGCCCAAGGTCACCCAGCAGCTGCATGTGGAGGAGTGGAAACACGAACCCGGTTCACCAGATTACAAGTCCACCGCTCTTAATCACTACACCACACTGGCTCTCTGTAGAGCTGGGAGGTACCCCTAATGGTCATATAGTCCAGCCCCCTGCAATGCAAGAATCTTTTGCGCAATGTGGGGCTCAAACCAACAACCCTGAGATTAAGAGTCTTATGTTCTACCAACTGAGCTAAGCCCTCCAGTCCTGCTGGTCTACAACTCCCATTGTTCCTGACAATTGGCCATACTGTCTGGAGCTGATGGGAGTTGAAATCTAGCAACAACATGTGGAGATTCACCAGGTTCCCCATTCCTTGCCCAAAGCACATAGCCCGAGTTGATATTTTTTTTAATTGATTTGTTGTGAAAATTGTGTGCCAATAAAAGTTGCAGTCTGTTTTAATTCAGTCGCAGGCCAGGGTTCCACATAACACTAAGTTAAGGTTTAGTGTGAAAGTGCTGGGTCCTAGGAAGGAGATTGCAGCTGCCTTGCTCCTCATATTTTTTGCTCAGCACAACATGACAGCTAAATATAATAAATCTTGGATGCTGATGTGGTTTAAGTAGGAAAGAGCTGAACCACAATTCCAGGTTAAGTCAAACCTTGGTTCAACTGTTATGCTATACTGGGCGAAAAGGATAAGGGAAGAGCAAAGCAGGTGTGAGCTCCTCTACAGGAGTCAGTGTGTTCACGCAGTCCCAATAAGAAACAGTTCGGCTTACTGTGATGTGCAAACCAGGCGATTGCAATGTTCCTGTGCAGTCTCACTCCCATGTTGCTTCGCTCTCTGCTGTGGGCACAAGCATATTTCAGGGGAGTGGGAGCTCACCCTCCACAAAAAAAAGATAAAAACTAGAAAATATTTGCCACATTTTTAGTTAGGTCAGTACACAATGTAAAGGGACGCTCTTGTCAATGGAGTAGGAAAAAAAAGTGGAAATAGTTAATTTTCATATTAGTGTGAAACAAGAGCTATAGTGGGGCATTGCTAGTTCATAAATGATATCAAGTTATTATGCAAATTGCAGATTTACTTTGATCAGAATAACAATTTACAAGAATCCCCCTCCGACCCACATGACGCAAAGCATGCTGATAATTCCCACCCACCAATCACCTTCTGTGCACGCAGAATAAAAGGTAGAAATGAACAACAAATTGCTCCAAAATTGCTAATCAGCTGCAAACATCTAAATCATGGTTCAAGGAAAGCTAACATGAGAAGGCAAGCAAACAACATTCACAGATGCAAAACTATTATTTGGTGATGTCAAAAGTAACTATGGCATTTGCATAGGAGCACCTTCTGGGAAGCTGCTTTGACTACAGAAGAGAAAGAAAAAATGTGTTGAGGAGGAGGAATGAAGAATCTGTGGCTTGAACTAACAGGGGAGTTTAAATGACACAATATGGACCTTTCAAAGTCTCTGCTCCATTAAATGCATTGGATCGTAGGGCAAAATAAAAGCAAGCTTAAAGAAAATCTCAAAAACAAAACACCAAGTGCCCTTCCTATCTGTTCTTCTCACAGCTCTATTATTAGTGCCAATCACTAAAGGGGTGCATTAGATAATTGTCCTGAACTTAACAGCCATGGCTTTTATGATAGACTCAGGACCGCTGGGTATGTATATTATGGAGACCTTAGACATTAATCTTTGGCCCTCCTTGTCATTCCTTGCTGCTTAAGCAACATCCTTCTACCCTTTCTTTCGCCACTGGCATTTGGAAGAATGTCACATTGGAGAGGCTGGAGGTCAGTTCTTACCACTCATCCCTGAGTACATTAGGGGCAGCTAACAGGTAACCCAGAGGCTAGATACAGTCCCTGGAGTAATCTGGTGTCTCTTCCAAAAATAGTTTGCTCTCTGTACAAAGTAAGATTGTGGTATACAACGAAGTGTTGCTCTGACCTACACCAAATAAAATGTGCCCCTCAGAACTCAGAATTGGATAGCTTTTTTTGCAAAAAGCTGTGGTGGCAAACTAGGGACCCAGGAGACAGAGCATGCCTCCTGAGCAACTTTATCCAGCTCCAACTGCATGCTAACCAATATGCCGTAAAGCAGAATCTCTCACAAATATGACCCCACCCCTAAAAAAAGTTGTAATATGCAGCTCAATACAAGTTTTTAATGTTACATCTCTCTTTAAATTGTATATTGAATGCCACAATAACCTGTAAGTGTTTGCAGCCAGATTCACACCATATGTTTAAGCACATTTAATGCACATTAAAATCACATGATGTCCCCCAAAGATTCCTGGGAACTGTAGTTTATCTCTCACTCAGCTGCAATTCCCAGCACCCTTAGCAAACTACTACTCCCAGGATTCTTTCAGATGCTAAATGTGCTTTAAATATATGGTGTGGATCTTCCCCATATATCCCAGCACCTGTGAAATCCTTGTTGCTAAGTGCTGCTGAGCCATGAAATGGTTTGTATAATGGGCAATATATGCTTTTACCAACCCAGGCTACTTTCTGGAGAATCAGCTGGCCCCTGAGAATGTGAAAGTCACCCTTCTCTAGCTTAAAAATCTTGCAAAGGAATGGAGAATCACAGAGAATACAGATAATAAGGGCACAGATAGGAAAAAGTATGAGCTCTTGCTTTAATGGCAAAACTGGCATATTTCTTAAGTGTACAAGAAAAAGGCAATGGCTAGAGAAATATACAATGGCAAGGTGTTTTTTTTACTAAGTTTGAAACCATTTATTGAATATAGCATTGAAAATTATTACTTTAAAATAAGGGTGCATTTTTCTCTCTCTTCATGTGGGTACAATTTTGAAAGAAAGAAAGAAAGAAAGAAAGAAAGAAAGAAAGAAAGAAAGAAAGAAAGGCTTGCACAGTGTCCAGGTAATGCACATTTCTGGATTTATGAAGACTTTGGTGATGTTGATGTGACGCATACCCAACGTGTGTCAATTATTGATCACAAAAGCTTAAAAGCAGTGAATGGCCTATGGACATCTCACAGTGGCCAGCACTCAAACTGAACTAGCTAGACTCTCTCCCCTGTTGGCACAGAGTTTAACAGCATTTTGTTTCAGGGGGCTCCTGATGGGAGAGTGATTTTGCTACGTGCCATGGTAATGGAACACAGCTCCAGCCCTTGAAGGGCAAAAATGATGGGAAGCTTCCACATGGCTGATGTGTCCTGGCTGCACCTGCTTTTAGCAGCCTGAGATCAGCAGGAGAACACAGTTTGCTGTCTCAGTCTTCTTGCTCAAGCTATCCAGGGATTGAGTTGTAAAGCGAGGTTTCCTGTTCTTGCTGCTGTGCTGTAAGGAACAAGGGGATCCCGCAAAAGTCAAAAAAAGTCAAGCAAAAATAGAATTATTATTTTTTTAGAATTCATATTGGAGGGTTCATATAGGGCTTTTTGGAGGATGAAACGTGTGAAAACAGGAATGGTGCCAGTTTTAACTGGAGCTGCCACGGCATCATCTGAAGCAACATTTCAAGACCTTTTTTAGAGGAATATTGAGGGAATAATAAAATAAGTTATGTCGAGTGAAATGCTCCTGAAGGCTCCTTATACCCACACCCTGGGCCCACAAAAAGCAGGCAGCTTAGGAACATAGCTGCCTTATACAGTGGTACCTCAGGTTACATACGCTTCAGGTTACATACGCTTCAGGTTACAGACTCCGCTAGCCCAGAAATAGTACCTCGGGTTAAGAACTTTGCTTCAGGATGAGAACAGAAATCGTGCTCTGGCGGCGTGGCAGCAGCAGGAGGCCCCATTAGCTAAAGTGGTGCTTCAGGTTAAGAACAGTTTCAGGTTAAGAACGGATCTCCGGAACAAATTAAGTACTTAACCTGAGGTACCACTGTAGTGAATTAGGCCACTGGTCCATGGAGCTCAGTATTGTCAGCACTGACTGGCAGAAGTTTTTCAGGATTTCAGGCAAGGGTCTGTCCCAACAAGGCTGGCCTAAGCATGACACATGGTGAGGTGGTCAACTCAGGGTGGCAGGCATTGGATTGCTGGGAGAGGCATTGAAACTGTGTGTCTGCCTGCCCATGTGTGCATTGCCATCCACCTCTCTCTAGCCTCCTTTTACACCCTGGGCAACCTTCAGGTGGCAGCAGCTGCAGAGGAGACAGTGTTTGTGTGTGTGTGTGTGTGTGTGTGTGTGTGTTTTGCCTGGAGCAGCGAAACATTCTGGGCTGGCCCTGCTCGCAACCCTACCTGCAAATGCTGGGGATTGAACCTAAAACCTTCGGAATGAAAGCAGGTGTTCTACCACTGAGCTATATAGCCTTTCTCTAAACTTGCCAGCCACATTGCACTGTGGGTACTCTTTGGAAGAGCCAGTAACAGGTTTGGGGGACCCTTGGCAAAGCTGAGCCCGCATCTGAAATGGTAAGCCCCACTGGCCTGGTGGCAGTCAACAGCAGCAAACCTGTGATGAACACTAGGTGGCTTGGAACCACTGTTCTCATTTCCCACAAAGCCCCTGGCAGAAAATCATTCTGTGGGCAAAAGACACTGTGGGCAAAAATGTTTTTAGTAAGTTTGAAACTGCAGTGAAAAATGTCTTGAATTGAAAGGTGGTTTTGGGGGGGATTTTGGTATTATATGTGAAAATAATGAATTAGTTTGTGTGCTTAAGAAGTAAAATAAAAGAAAGAGAGAGAGAGAGAAAATAAGAGTGGCTAGGATGGTCACTCATGCATTGCAAAAGAGAGAGGAAATGCATCACACAATAGGCGGGGGAACACAAAAAAGGAGACAGGTTTGCATATTTACACATGCAAATTACACAGACTAATTTATATGCATATATCAGTGGTGGGAAACCTGCAGGCCTAATTTGGCCCAGTATGGTTCCTAACAAGGCCTGTGAGGCCATTTTCCTAAAACCATACTCACCTATCTAACACCTGATGTCATGTGTGATCTCAAGTACGAGATAGGTAAAGGCATGAAAAGGAACAACTGGAAGCCTGAAGGTGCACTCTTGTTTGTTCCTTAGCAAGTGAGGCTTGCATCTGATGCCTCTATAGCAGGGGTCAGCAACCTTTTTCAGCAGAGGGCCAGTCCACCGTCTCTCAGACCATGTGGTGGGCCAGACTATATTTTGAAAAACAAACATGAACGAATTCCTATGCCCCACAAATAACCCAGAGATGCATTTTAAATAAAAGGACACATTCTACTCATGTAAAAATACGCTGATTCC